TTATTGATTTTTATTGATTGTACATAATTTTCTTTAATTTAATCGTTAAAAATATATAATAATAATAAATTAATGTTTTACTTATTTTACAAATCCATATTATTTTATTAAAACTAACATATATACTTTTTAATTACGAATTCTATTAACAATTGACGACAATTATATTTGTCAGTATACGCAGAAATAGTCCATTAGTACCAAAACGAATTGGCGCTGCTGTCGCGCACTGAGCGAATTGGCTCGTCAAAATTTTCTTCATTATCAAGATGTTCATTGTCAAGATTATTAATATCGGGATTACACGAGACTAAAATAGGAGATGGAGAATTATGCCTTTTCACATTCACCACAAAGACGGTCGGTCACTGAACTTGGTAAATAGTCTTGTTCCATAAAGATATCTCGGTCCAACGGAAAGATTCCGGTTTTTTTAAGCGTTAATAATATTTATTGGTGTCATGGCTCTTAAAAAAGCAGTTCCCACTATTTCTCCTACTTCAAAAATGCTAATTGGTTGTCCCGAATGATGCAGCAACCCCGAATCAATGGTACTATTGTAGAATGATTTGAAGGGAGCGAATACTCCAACGTCTAGAGGCTGGAGTTTGTTTGATGTATGGGGATGAAGTGTTACCGCATCCACTCCTGAAAACTTTGCTCGATTCAACGCCTCTAACGATAGGTGCGACTCGTTGTTATCCATGATTAAAATACTAGGATTTTCCGGCGTACTTTAATAAAGTGGTCCATGATATCAACAAATAGTTCACTATTCAGCCACCCTGTTGGTGCGGCTAATCCCAGTGTTCCTGAAGGGGTTCCTTTGACCATGTGCAATTTAAAATGTTTACGAGGAAACACCATTACGGGTGGCAAAGCTTGGCCGACAGCACTAACAATGCAGCAAGTAGTAACGAGCGTTCCATTTTCTCCTCTCGTTACTTTCTCCAAATTTTTACGACCTTTTGGTCCTAAAACTTTTTGAGGTCTTTGCACCGTGGTAGTAGAAGTTTCATCCAGATTAAAAATTCTAGTTCCATCTGCAAAAACTGGGTTTCTCTTCATATCTTTTTCTAAATTGTCGAAAAACTTCTTAATATTAATCTTGTTGAAGGCTGTAGCTCTTGCCAGACTACATGGTTCTGGCTTTCGTAGAGATAGATCCTGATGTCTCTTACGAAAAGATTTAAGCCAATCTATCCCTGCCAATTTATTTGTTTGCGATGAATTTGACATGTTTACATTATTGATTTTAGCCATCTCATCTCATATGCTACACGTCGGCATTCAGTTGTCGACAGTCCATGAAACAGTAAGGCACAGTGTTGGAAATATTCGTTTAAGGCCGTTTCTTGTTCGTTAGTAAAATTTTTAATAATATTGTAGTGAAGCACTAGCCGGATACTCTTAATAGAATAGTTGGCAGGTTTTAATTTCTCATAGTACCGACGGATCGTCGCAAAAGCTAAGCCGGTGTCTCTGGATACTTGGCGAATACTACAGTACCATTTATAATAAGATTTAACGCTCGTTCCATATCTTCTTTACAGTGTCTGCCAATTTTTCTTTCCAGCAGCTGTTTACGAGGCATACTGAAACAACAAACAGCATTGTAAATTTAAAAATTGTGATTTACAGTAGGTACACAGTGAATCGTGATTCACTGTTTACTTAAGACCGTTGGTTCACGTACCCCTTTGACTCGATGTAAAAAAATTAATTTTTAGGTATTTTCGCTAACACATTTAAGATGAAAAATTATACAGTTATGTAGCTTACTAATACTACTTTGCCACAACAATATAATAAATAATATATATTTAAAACTATAGCTATCAAACTAACGAAAAACTTACTTTGAAATAAAATTTTCGCCACCTAAATCCGGTTTTCGTCAAAAACACGTGTGTACTGCTTGCCTGTTTACTGAATACTGAGAGAAGCAAAAAGTATTAAACATAGAACATATTAAGCGATAGAAAAGAACAAGTCTGTTCTTATTTAAAAATGGTTGCCGACTCACTGTAGCCACCTGATTCACTGTTTCCACAATGACCCTATATCGTACAAATACGATAATTTTATTATCGTGCGTCTTGCAACACTGCTCTCGCCGTTGACATGATTCCTAATAGGCCTTTTCATCATGTGATGAGCGCAAGCGCAGCCGCCATGTTGAAATAGCGCCAATTCAAAAGTTTCGTACTGTTTTGATCAACAATGGCTGGAGAAGCAGTATTATCTCTACATACAAATCAATCATTAGAAAAAATCGTTGATGGTGATTTACATTTTTATAACTCTGTGGAAGCACATAGTCGTGAGCAATTAAAAAGGTTCTTAAAGTGACGTGGACATTCGGAACAAGGAAAAAAAGTGTGGTGATTGAGAGGTTATGTTTCAATGCATATTAACTGTGTAAAAAATTAATGAAAACAAATAATAATTATAACTCTATTGTAATTAATTATGCCAATCAACTATTAATAATTGCAAAAACACTTTAACATGAAAGTTATTCACGAGTATAATTAATAAGATAAATTATTTTAAATTTTAAGGATCAACATGACATTTTTAATAATATTACTGTGTATACCGAAGTAATATTTAATATTAAAAAATATTGTGTAATACCAGACAAGGATTTTCTTCTGTTGAACCACTTTCTCCATGAAAATGTAGTGAATAAATATAATTATCTTTAGTAACATCATCCATCAATCGATCGAAAACATTTGTCACTTCCACCACATTATTTCACCCATAATGCTCATTTTGAACATGTTTTTTATATGTATTTTGCTTAATGATTTGATATTTTTTTACGATATTGCAGGCAAGTCTTTTTATAAAATAATAATTTATATCGTGTATCACTTTTACATACTCATAACAATATCGTTTAGTTTTTCCTTTCCGTAAAGATAACACAATTAATTAATTGATTGCAAAAATTGATTTTTCAATTAAGACACTTATTACTTTACTTTTTTATCCCATTTGTTAAACGAATACACCTAAAATTAATATTTATCGATTATAATTTTTTTCACGTGGACATTATAACATGTTTGTTTACAAAAAACAGTACGAAAAAGATGGCCGATACTGCGTATGCGCACAAAAAAAATTGTGATGAAAAGGACTATAATTTTAGTCGGGTGACATGCGCAGCAAGGCCAAATCGTGAGAGAGACTCACCCTCCTTTCCCATAGTTGCAGAATACGGCTCCAGGGGACTGAGAAATGTCATATGTCAAAGTGTAAACAGTGTTTTTAAAGCCAATGAGAACTCACTGACTGTTTCTCTCAGTTAATTTCAAGATAGTTCAAACTCTCCTAAGCATTATATAATTCTCCCTGGCTTTTAAAATACTGTTTTAACGATGACGTATGACATTTCCTATGAAAATCTTGAGATAATTCACTTTATCTCGAGTTTGAAAATAGCCCCCTAGAGGGACAAAGTATGAGAGCACTCATTTCTCTCAAGGTTCTCATCAGAAATGTCATACGTCAATGTGAAAACGCTGTTTTTAAAGGCCTCGAGGATTAAAATTCTTAGGAGAATTTAAATTATCTCTAAATAAACCGAGAGAAACAATCATTGAGTTCACACTGGCCCTAAGGGCCCTAAAAATACTGTTTTACGTTGACGTATGACATTTCTCTTGAGAGTAATGAATTCTCTCGAGTTTGAAAATAGCCCCCCAGGGCTAAAACCGGCATTGGATACACTCTACCTAATATGAACTCAATATTTTAAGAAAAACCTTATCGTCCGATTTACTTTCAATTGCCCGATATGCATAGGCGTACCGAATTCTCCGTTATACCTATATTAGAATCAAATTAATTTAAACTAAAATGAATTTATAATCGTCCTAATACCTATCAAAAATAATTATTAAGTGGGAGTTCAAATTATAAATTTTAAAAAACTAGTTTACAACTCTATTTTTTCATCATTGTTAAGGTTTCAAAAGTCATCCACGAAAAATGTATTTATTTTCTGGTAAAAAACAAGCAAAATATAAAAATGAAATTACAAAAATTTACGTAAAAAATGTGGATATTTATTAAGAGTTTATTTGAAAGAAAACAGGAAATATTTGTAATAGTAATTTCTTTGTAGAAGTAGGTGGATCCTTTGAAAATATAAATATTATAAAGGAAAATTATGTATTTCTACAACTGTAATTAAAGCGTACATTTTAATAATAATAAATCATTTAAAAAAAAATCAGTTTTTTTATTACCACTTCCCTGCTTCCCTGCTTAATATTTTCATAAATAACTTTGTTGCAATTTATTCAAACAAAAATATTTATTATTTCTAATTAGTTGGAAAAATTTTATCTTGTAATCTTCATTAAAATACACGATTTTTATTAATAAAACAATACAAAATATATCTGAGAATCTACGTACATATTTTAATGACTTTATTTTTCAAGTTTAAACAATGTATTTATGATTCATATTTAATATTTAAATATTTCCAAGAAGAGATTAAACTGTGTATAAACAGTAATTTGTGTACATTTTTATAAATATATAACTACTCTACAATGTTTTAAAAAGAAGCAATCGTCAGAATGTACTTTTATGTTCAATATAAAATACTAAAATAGTCTGTTCTGAAAAAGATGGTTTCATATTAAATCCTAGAGCAGTACGAATCTGGGCCCATTACCTATTAATCCGAAGTGTTCGTAAACACGTAAAGATAGACCCATTAGGAAAGTACTTAAACTGTGCGGCATAGAGCCATCGCGTGATGCTTCGCAAAAAAATATACATACAATGAGAAAAATAAAAACCTAACTAAATTAACCTAACCTCTGCAGCCTAGAGCTATCGAAGATTTCTTTACAAAAACATATACATAAAATGGGAAAAATAAAAAAACTTAACTAATTTATTTAACCTGTGCGGTCTAGAGCCTTATCTTGGTTGGAATATTTTTTTAAATTGTTATATTTTTTTTTCAGTATCCTTCCCCTCCTGTGGATTCTGAACCAAGTCCTGAAGAACGAAAACCTGGTTCTCTGCCCCCGAATGTAGATTTAGATGTACCTTCGCGAGATTTGTTGCTGAGGTTGCTTCAAATCGACCCTAAAAAGAGACTAAGATCTGTTAGAACGTTGGAGACGATAGCCTTTTATAAAGGATATTCATTTCTGGATGTAAAAGAGAAACGAGTAAGGAATTATCAATATTAGAGATAAAACATGTTAATTGAGTCTGATGCTGCGTTTGAATATTCACATCCGATGCATTTTTTACATCTCGAGCGTTTGTTTATCCACATCGGACACATCTGTCCTACTACATTTACGTATATTGAGTCACGTGATCAAAGATCCATAACATCTCAGATGCATCCGATGTGGATATTCAAACGCAGCATGAAGTATGTTAGGAATATTTGTTAGGATCACGATCACATTGGCAGTACTGATAACACTCAAAATATTTCATTCTGTGGCTGACACTTGTTACAAGTATGAAGACTAGAGAAAAGGAGGCAAATCGGCAATGATCTCAGGCAATTAGGCACTCCAAACTGAATGGCTACCAGTGGGTTTTGACAGGTTATGACATGGCAAAATTATGGCAACCCTGTAACCTGGTGATTTGACAAGGTCAACGAAATAGATAGTTACATAGATTGATCATCCATATTTTTCAAAATAAACATAAGCTTATGCCTTGAAGTAAAAATGTAAGCAATTATTTTTTTTAATTATCTAAAGGCTGAAAATTGGTTTTAAAACACATTTTTGCTAAACCGATTCAAATTAATAAATATTTGCCAGGCAATATGGTCGCTCGCAAACGACCAGTGCGCAGTGCGACCATTCTCCGTATAGTAAAAGAAAATCAAAGTATGTGATTGACCCTGTTAGAACAGAAGTAAAAGTTGGAAATGCTTTTGCCAGTTCTCCCACTTTATACACATAAATTGACAGGTTGGCAGCGGATTTCACCGAAGTGGACGCGATACATTGGCGTACAAAATTATTTTATAGATGTTAATAACAATTTCGAGTAAATAGTTTAATAAATTGTGAATAGCTGTTGAAATTTTGTAAAATTATAATTTGAATATTATAATACATGTTTAATAATTATTTATAATCCATAAATACATGCGATTGTCCGGTTCCGCTGATAACAATTTAAAATTATTTATTCTATGAAACGACACTGGCAGGTAAACATTACTGTTAAATTCTCGGAGCCGCCCGACGTGGTTTGACGTTTACCCCCTCTCTACCTACCAAAAGACTTTTCAACTTTTACTTTCTCTATATTGACAACATGCCCACAGGTTTGCCATATCTAAACTGTCAGAACCCACTGGTAGCCATTTGGACAGGTCGTTGGACTGCCATAAACCATGGAGGAAAAGAAAAGATAAATATCGACAAATCGCAAAACAACGAACGGATATTAATTACTGCGCAAGCTTACTCCTGAGTCACCTCTCGCCGAGGTGGTGCAGGATAATTTACTTCATGTACTCTGTTCCACCCAATCTAAGCGTAATAGAGTTAACGCGGTTCTCTTTTTATTAGAGAGATATTCCAAATTTCCATAACATCAGCCACTAATAGTGACAACGAAATTAGAGGAAAGGGAAGTTTTAACATTAACATATTTCTACCCGCATTTTACAATTTTTAAATTACAGTTCATCTTTTTTATTGTCTATAATAGTACATAATATGGAAGAGGCATTAGAAATTACCATTTTAGAAGGTTTATATGATGATGATGATATTAAATATGTAATATTAAAAAACTTCAAACTGATACGAATGTCGGCTATAAAGCCGTCACTACCTGCTGTCCTTAAACATCCACAATCAAGGACAGGCATAATCAATAGCTTCGTTCGCGGTAACAATCCTGAACTGATTCAGAATTAGTAATTCATACTTTGAGCGCATGCCCGAATCATTATCAATTCTGAATTTTTACCGCGCGCGCAATCCCTATTATATATCGGTGTTGTAGGTATAGACAAGCGGTTCAAAACCAATTATAATTTTATCACAAACGCAGGATAGAACCAACAGTTCAGTTCTTTTTGTTCCGCAAACGTTTTTTACCTACTGCGCCTGCGAAATCGTTACTATTAGTAATAATTTGGTTCAGGATTCTTACCGCGAACAAAGCTATTAATAGTCAGTTCTAGAACGTAAACGAGCTGCGCATGCTCAGATGTCCAAAATAAGAGCGGCGTTAATAGTGACTGACCATAAGTGAACTTGCAATAAGACTCTATTGTTTATTATTCCAGTCTATTTAGCTTTGTGAGTTTTGTGTTTGTCACATTAATACATATACCTAATAGACTCCCACTTGCACTACCTAGGGGAATCACGCAAAATATATTATTTTTTTTTTTTCAGATTCAACCTCATGATCTTGTACTAAAGTATTATCCAGATGGTCCACCTGTTGTTGCGACACAAGGCGATGTCTTCGAAAATTTTGATGTACAAATTTGAACAAAAGTGTGCTGTCTAAATAAATATGAAACGAACCCATTCCTGGCCTATTTTTGATAAGTTTTGTTTGTTAATAAGAGCCATAATTGTACAAATATTGTTTTTCTGTTGTAAATAATAAAAAACAATTTTATTAAATGACACCTCATGTAATTTCTTCACACATCTATCATAAAAACTCTATCAACATCAAACTTCTCAAATATCTTTTGAAAGAAAGTTAAAAGAAACATACCTATGCTTTTAGAATTTCAATCCATTTGAATGTACTGGTTAAGTTTGAATCATATGAAAAACTTTTTTATATTATTATTTTTAGGAAAAAAGTTATTCTTTATAAACAGTTCCACAGGACCTAAAACCGAAAATACAATCGTCAGATATCAAATTTTTTCAGTTGTATACGAGGTTTGTCAAAAATAAAGGTACCTTACTTTTGAGCAAAATTATATTTTATGACAAACCACGTATACGACTGATAAAATTTGATATCTGGGGGTCAATTCTCGACTTTTATTCCCATAGGAAAATAAAATTTTCCCATGGGAATTCAGTTTTCGTATTCTCGACATAAGCGGTGGAATATTTTCCAATGAGAAGTATGGGAAAATATTCCCCTGCTTACGAGCATTGGAAATTGTGTTTTCCAATGGGAATTGTACTAGAGTTTGCGCATTAAAGTTGAAAATTTGACGAAAGACCACTCGAAAGTCTAAGACATAACCAAAGATTATTGGATATCTTGGATTTTTAGTGAAATTGTAGTTAAAACATTTTTTGGCGTATTTATAGATTGATATTATTTTATTTATGTAGGTATATTATTTTTAATTCTCTTTCATTAAGAAACTGTATAAACTGATTTTCCTAAATCATTTAAAAATTGTGGGAGCTGCTAAGGGACTGGCAAATAACACAAATTGAGTGTAGTAAATTTAATAAGACCTTTTCGAAAATTTATTATTTTCGTTAATGAAAGAATTTCTTAGTTTCTCAAAACTTTCGTCGCTCTTCCATACAAAAGCTACCTTTTCTTTTTTCAACATGAGAAAAGAAATATTCTCGATCATGATAGCGAATGCTCGGCACGGCACCTGCTCCAGCGCGGAGGCTCGGCAGGTAATCGGATACCCAAAAACCACAACAAATACAAATATTGCCCACAGTAAATTTTAAAATATCTTTAATGTTATTGGTTGTTTCGAAATATTTGTGAACTTAATATCAGACATACGTGAAACTACTATTTCCATGGGAATGTCTATTCCGACACGTTCGAGAATTGCATAACCTATTACCATGGGAATATAAGTAGTGGAATATTTTCTCAAGGGAAAATTTTCCAATGATCTCGAGAATCGAGCCCCTGATGGTTGTACTTTAGGTTTTATGCACACAATTTTTTATGAAGAATAACGTTTTTTCTAAAATTAACAATAGAAGAGTTTTCCATATGATTCCAATTTAACTAGACACACACAGTATATAGTAAAAGACCATATACATTTTGACCCATTAGTTCGAGGGTCCCAATATCTCTCTTATAAGAAAGTTATAGGTTTTGCATATTTCTTAGATGCTGTCAAATATACACAGAGTGTTCCTGTTCCTATACGGGACAGATTAAATGTCGATGTTTTTAAATGACTCGCCATTGATTTCAACGTAAATTGTTATAATGTTCCTATACTGTTTCGATCCTTTACCTACTAAGTTTTTTCTGTGACGTTGTCAATGTATCGCAAAAAATGTGAAGAAAATACTGAAAAATTGTTTATAAGTTTCATAACAAATATTAATACTATGAAGACTAGATATAATTAATACTTAAAAAACAATGTTATTGACAGATAAGTTAAAATATTGGGTAAATGCAAAAATAGGGGTTAGCTGAAACGTCTCAGGCGAAAAGTTTAATTTTATGTACATGCGATTTTGTAGAGACGCCAACTTATTGCTGATCTTTAAACATTTGTTTTTTTCAAATTGAACATCTAGTCTAGTATATTTCATTATTTGGTATTTATTATTATAAAATAGGTCCTAATAGTGATAGATTTTGACAAATTTGTATTTTAATTGACAAATTAAAAATAATAAGACAATAAAAATCATAGAACTTCTACGCGCACTAGTAAACCACTCTGTTCTCCTCTAACATCAATCCTGTTGTGTTAGGCAACACATATTACACTTGGTAATGTGTAGTTGGACATTAAACAAACGCTCGAGATGAAAAAATTAATCGGATGTGGATATTCAAACGACTCGCGTATCGGGGACAACACTAATCATTTGTAATTGCTGTGGTGGGAGATGTTTGTGTGAATGCGTCTTTTTTGTTTTCATTTACGCCGCGTCGTGACTAGCAGTAGTATTTTATAAACCTTACAAGCAAATTTCACATACATGAACAAATAATAAAAATGCCGTGACAACAAGAAGACGAAGCAACGAATTTTAATCCATACCTGGCTACGCCGACCGGCATGAACACCAATGGCCTGAACAGAGCGAAAGAACCCGAACAGACCTAATGTCAAAAGGAGACGGATGTACAAATAAAACGCGTACGACATGCGCACTACAAATGATTAGTGTTGTCCACAGACCATACCTCAGGGGGTCGATTCTCGACTTTTATTCCCATGGGAAAATAAAATTTTCCCATGGGAATTCAGTTTTCGTATTCTCGGCATAAGCGGTGGAATATTTTCCAATGAGAAGTATGGGAAAATATTCCCCTGCTTGCGAGCATTGGAAATTGTGTTTTCCAATGGGAATTGTACTAGAGTTTGCGCATTAAAGTCGAAAATTTGACGAAAGACTAAGACATAACCAAAGATTATTGGATATCTTGGATTTTTGGTGAAATTGTAGTTAAAATATGTTTTTTGTGTATTTATAAATTGATATTATTTTAATTTATGTGGGTATATTATTTTTACCTCTCTTTCACTAAGAAACTGATTTTCTTAAGTTAGTTAGAAATTGTGGGAGCTGCTAAGGGACTGGCAAATAGGTAACACAAATTGAGAAATTTGTAGTAAATTTAATAAGACCTTTTCGAAAATTTTATTATTTCCGTTAACGAAAGAATTTCTTATATATATAGTTTCTCGAAACTTTCGTTGCTCTTCTATACAAAAGCTACTTTTTCTTTTTTCAATATGTGAAAAGAAAAACTAAAAATAACTCGATAAGTTTTAATTATACATAATCGAATATTTTCACTTGTCCTCGGTCAAGCTAGCGATTGCTCGGCACGGCATCTGCTCCAGCGCAGAGGCTCGGCAGGTAATCGGTTACCCAAAAACCACAACAAATACAAATAATGCCAACACTAAATTTTAAAATATCTTTAATGTTATTGGTTATTTTGAAATATTCGTGAACTTAATATCAGACATACGTGAAACTATTATTTCCATGGGAATGTCTATTCCGACAAGTTCGAGAATTGCATAACCTATTACCATGGGAATATAAGTAGTGGAATCTTTTCCCATGGGAACATTTTCCAATGAACTCGAGAATCGAGCCCCTGGGGAATCGAACGTGTCGGAATAGGCATTCCCATGGAAATAGTAGTTTCATGTATGTCTGATATTAAGTCCACGAATATTTCGAAACAACCAATAACATTAAAGACATTTTAAAATTTACTGTTGGCATTATTTGTATTTGTTGTGGTTTTTGGGTATTCGATTACCTGCCGAGCCTCCGCGCTGGAGCAGGTGCCGTGCCGAGCAATCGCTATCATGATCGGGGAACAAGTGAAAATATTCGATTACGTATAATAATTAAAACTTGTCGAGTTATTCTTAGTTGTTCTTTTCTCATGTTGAAAAAAGAAAAGGTAGCTTTTGTATGGAAGAGCAACGAAAGTTTTGAGAAACTAAGAAATTCTTTCATTAGCGAAAATAATAAAATTTTCGAAAAGGTCTTATTAAATTTACTACACTCAATTTGTGTTATTTGCCAGCCCCTTAGCAGCTCCCACAATTTCTAAATGATTTAGGAAAATCAGTTTATACAGTTTCTTAGTGAAAGAGAATTAAAAATAATATACCTACTTAAATAAAATAACATCAATCTATAAATAAGCCAAAAAAATGTTTTAACTACAATTTCACTAAAAATCCAAGATATCCAATAATCGTTGGTTATGTCTTAGACTTTCGCGTGGTCTTTCGTCAAATTTTCGACTTTAATGCGCAAACTAGTACAATTCCCATTGGAAAACACAATTTCCAATGCTCGTAAGCAGGGGAATATTTTCCCATATTCTCATTGGAAAATATTCCACCGCTTATGTCGAGAATACGAAAACTGAATTCCCATGGGAAAATTTTATTTTCCCATGGGAATAAAAGTCGAGAATTGACCCCCTGGGGCTCGATTCTCGAGATTATTGGAAAATTTTCCCATGGGAAAATATTCCAATACTTATATTCCCATGGTAATAGGTTATGCAATTCTCGAACGTGTCGGAATAGACATTCCCATGGAAATAGAAGTTTCACGTATGTCTGATATTAAGTTCACGAATATTTCGAAACAACCAATAACATTAAAGATATTTTAAAATTTACTGCTGGCAATATTTGTATTTGTTGTGGTTTTTGGGTATCCGATTACCTGCCGAGCCTCCGCGCTGGAGCAGGTGCCGCGCCGAGCAATCGCTATCATGATCGAGGAATAAGTGAAAATATTCGATTACGTATAATAATTAAAACTTGTCGAGTTATTCTTAGTTTTTCTTTTCTCATGTTGAAAAAAGAAAAGGTAGCTTTTGTATGGAAGAGCAACGAAAGTTTTGAGAAACTAAGGACCGATTCCACCGTTGTGTTAAACGAAGTTTAAAGCGAGATTTTTACATTAACAATGTGATTTTAATCTCCGTTTAACACAACGGTGGAATCGGCCTTAAGAAATTCTTTCATTAACGAAAATAATAAAATTTTCGAGAAGGTCTTAATAAATTTACTACACTCAAT